TTCACCTAACAGGCGCGAAGGAGCATCCATCCCCCTGCCCGCCCCTCGCTTTGGCTTTCCCAGCCCACCGCCCCGTGTCCTTCCGCGCTCCTCTCGCAAGAGGGAGTCCAGGGAGGCTCCGGGCCTCCCGCTCAGCCTTTTGGGTTTGCAGCTCCCAGCTGCTGGGAAACAAACCAGGCACTCCTCAAAAACCACCACTGGCGTGAAGACCTGCTACTTAAATCATCTCCGGAGGAGCAACGAAACAGAAAAGCTGGGAAAAACTTTTCCTAGGGAGAAAAAGGTAGATCTGAAGAGGCTACGGTCATACTCACTTTTTAAACCTTGCAGAAGAAACACATGCCTGGAGGCTTTAAACTCTGTATGTCGATCGCCTTCTCTAAAAGAGGAGGCTACAGGCTTGAATAATGCTTCCAAGACAACTGGCACACGCTACTTATCTTTTTATAGAATGCCAAAAGTTAATGGACCAGCTAGTGCTGTAACAAATCAGTATGGCTACAGAAATTCCCAGTTTTCCGTAAAATTCACCATGCATTTAAACTAACCAGTATTTGCACACCTGCTAACGCTACAGCACCAGCATTTCTGCTTGTCCTGGTCACGGAGTTTTGCTGGAACCAAATCACTTAAGGTTTATGCCAAACAGTGGCCGGTGCCAGGATGCGCTCTCAGCCTTGTTTCCAAATTTGTGAAGCAACAGAAATGTCACTATTGCCCTTGCTGGGAAATGAGGATGGAAAGGAACGGAGTTTTTTTCTCCTCCAGTTTGAAGGGTGTTGAGAAATGGGCCGTTTTCTTGCTTCGTTAGCCTGGGGAAAACGGGATTTGTTCTTTCTTACATCTTGTGCTGTTGCTGCTGAGCAGCAGATAGGCAGCAGCAGGAGAGGCTGGCGAGCAGAGCGGGCAGCAGAGTGGGCAGCAGAGCACCTGCTTGCTCCAGGTGCGGCACAGCCAAGCATCTTCATCAGCTGCCATCACCTGCTTGCAGCATGGAAGGCCAGGCTTAGGAGAGCTGGAACGAGCCCATCCCCACGTTCGAACCTGGCCCGCACGGGCCTGTTCTCTCCGCAACGTGCGTTTGGCAGCAGACAGACACAAAAAGGCCCCCGGGCGGTGTGAGGTGATCACGGTGCCGTTTGACAAAAAGCTCATTTTGATTTTGAGCCCAACTGTACAGTTTCTCTGAAGGCAGAGATGCCACATTCCCGAAATGAAATGGGTCTTTCTTCCCCAGACACAGCACTGGCCACATCAGCCCTCCCCACGGGGAGGAACCGGCGCTCTGCAGAGCCGCAGGCGGAGCCCAAGGCTGACATTAGCCCGGCTGGACTGGTCTCCTTCCAGTGCCAGCAAGGACAGGCTTTCGTTAAAACAGAAAAGTGGCAAATGCACCAGATGAAAGAAAACGTGGGGCAAAAATCCCTTAGAGAAAGAAAAAAGAATGGAAAAAACCCTCAAGAAAGAGGATGCCAGACAATCCCCAAGAAGTAGCCCAGAAGCCCATCAGGTGGGGATGCCAGCTTTCCTCTGTAAAGAAAACCACGACCATTACAGGGAAGCAGGAGTTGGCATCATTAGGGTTGCCACCAGTTTCCATTGTAAATAAGTCCATTTCAGCAACTGTTAGGGGGCTTGGAAAACTGGCTTAAGTTGAAAATTGCTATGTTAACTGGCAAGGCAGGGAAAAGTACTTCTGCAAGGCCTTAAAAAAAGGAACAAACTGTTACTTAGCGACTAATCCTTGCCACTGCGACTTCAAAACCACATTCATTAGCTTACTTCAAAGTAACCAACCATGCCAGTAAAACAGGAGAGAACATGTTTTGCCAAGACAGGGCAAAAAAGGAAAAGGAAGGGAAAAAAAAAAAAAAAAGGCTGAGAAGTTGGGATGCAGCATACAAAGGACGTGCACCTTCTCCCAGAGCAAGAGCATCTCGGCTGGAAGGTCTGCACTGCCTTTCTCAGGAAAGCTGGGAATAAGGCAGAGAACCACCACCAAGTAGGAGTCGATCCAGCCTCATATCGGGACATATTGACCCTCAGCCTGCCTTGTCAAATCCCCTTTTCAGAAACGGATGAACTATTGTGCACAAGCGTTTAAGGGGGAAGGAAATCAATCGGAAACAGGAGTGAAGTACTCAGCCAGTGAAGCAGATTCACATTAAACCTCTTAAAATGAGGCTCAGACCACTTCGGGACAACCATGGGCACAGCAGTGAAGAAATCTTCACTTTCTAATAGTGAACCCGAACAGGCTCAGACCCCAGCAAGCCCTTGTCCATGCAGCTGAGTGGCCTGGGAGGAAACTGAGTCAAAAGAAAAAAAGAGGAAGAAAACCAGAGTGTCACACGCACAGGGGAAACCAGTAGCTGTGGGCATCACACTGGCTGGGATGAGTGTGCCCCAGCACCGGGCAGAGGCAGACAGGCAGGCACCCCGCTGTACCTGGGACACTTCCCCGCGGCCGTTCCTCCTCGGAAGCAGCTGCTTCGGGATCAGACGCTGAGGAGGTGAGTTGCTTGGAGCCTTCCTCACTGGCTGCTAGGCCCCTGCCTCTCCCTGCTCCCTCCACTGATGCATCACTCTCTACATCAGCGCTTCTGCTCTCTGGACCAAGTCCTTCGAGTGATGGAGAGCACGAGGGCGAGCCAGGCGCTGTGCAGCTCTCTGTGGGCTCAGGGGGCTTCTGCCACACGCCCAAATCTCCGTCGGCCAAGACAGCTGGTGTGTGGCAGCCCATCAAGACTGTTGCTGGATGATACAGTCCTCTTGGCATGGCTGTCCCGGTGCTAATTCCTGTCTGTCTTCCAGCCCACGGCATCTGAAAAACACAGGAGGGAGATGGCTTAAAGGAAAAAAAAACCCAACAGGCAGTGTGCTGCAAATGGAGCTTCTAGAGGATCAGATGTTGGTTTCTGCAGAGAAAAGTGTCACAGAACTCAAGTGTTTTGTATAGTATTACTATTACACAAACCCTCGGCATGCATTTCTGCCATCCTAGTGAGAAAATGAGGACCCGGACCTCAACTGAAGCTCTGTGAGCCAAAACAACCCCTGGCAAAGGTGCACTGCACCCCTAACCCGACTGAAAGGGACTGAGATATGCAAAGGACTCAAACTAATCTAAACAGCAACTGGTTTTTACAAACAAGCAAACTTTTAAGGTTAGATTCCTGCAAAGGCTTTTCAGACCCTGGGCCACAGCACGACATTTAGATCGACCCACTAAAGCCACTGAGAACACCTTGAAGTTCCTGACTCGAGTGGAACCCTTGTGCTCTACTTGTGCTCTACTTGTGCACGCCTCCGCACGGCCGCTGGGAGCCTGCGGTTTGGGTATCGCAGCATCCTGAAGCCAAGGCATGATCATCAGGACCTTGTGGCAGTGCCCCTGGCACAGCTGGCCTTTCTGGAGCCACCTGCAGCAGCTGCTCTGAGCAGCCTTCTCCTGCTGTTCTCATGGTCTTCTCTAGAAGTCCACGGGATGAGGAAGGGTCCCCAGGGAGCCTGAAATGTGTATCTGCCATCGTTTACTTGTCTATATACCCAGTTTTGCTCATAGCATGTCAACAAAGCAAACAAGAATGAGGCAAAAATCACCGTATTTATTGTCATCTTCTGCTCTTCCTGCCTGTTAAACCACACCAGAGGAAGAAGGACCACTCAGCTAAAACCATGCAGGTGAAATCGCGTTTTCCACAAGGCAACTTTGGGCAGCGAGCAGAAACATTTTAAATGGCGCTTTCCTCCAAGAACTGTTGAACTTGCACAAAACCAGTTCCAACAGTATAACCACTCTGCTTCTAAATCCCAGTGTTTTAACACTTGCCTTTTCTTTCTTTGTAAACCTACTCAATCAGAACAATTTAGGAGGAGTGGCTACTGCCACCACTACTACTAAAAGGTCACTGCCAGTTTATGCAAAGCCAAAATTAGCTATCGTAATACCATTGTTCATACTAAGCAGGGCTTACTTTTCAGCCCCAAATCACAGCCAGATAATTTACAGTCACCTCCACACCTCTCTCCTCTCTTTCATTGCCTGACCTCTTCCTACCATACAAAGTCAGCTGCCAAGCCCAGCTTAAAGGAAACAAAGGCATCTTGTCTAGTCTGTGACCAAGTTTCATTAAAAAAGCTCAAATTCCACGTAACAAGAAGCAGAACAAAAAGCCATGAAGTTATTTTAAGAAGGAGTAAAGGTTTGCTACTCAGATTAAGTTCACAGCTTATTCCATCACCACTGTTCTCGGGTTCCTCCTAATTACTTCTCGGGTCTTGGATTTGCTGCTTTAAAACGCATCTAGCAAGTACTTCATGGATTTGGCAGCTCCTGGATGTAGTGTTCCAAAGCAAATGCAATTCAGACAGGTACAAGTGCTTGGCAGAGTCACAGCAGACGCACATCTCCAACGAGCTCCTCTTCGATTGCAGAAAATAAATACTCTCTTCACCGCCTTTGCATTCTCAAAGCAAAAGTATGACAGATCACGATGGTCTAGGTGCTGTTTTCCCACTAAAAACAAAGCAGTAAAAACCTGTAGGTGACTGACTTAAAACAGTCAACAAAATCACTGAACTTCATGCCACTCCAGCTGGGAGTTAAATGAAGTCTCTGCACAAAGCACACTTAACAATCCTCTTTTTGGTTGTGGAGTGCAGGCTCCCCGCTCCTTCCTCCGGTAACAAATACCATCCCTTTTTATTATCATTAAAGTGTTTCGGAGAGAACAAAGATAAGAAAAAATCCCTTCTGTTCGGACTCACCAACGGGCCCAGGGGACCACCAGGTGAAAGGCAGGGGGGTGAAGTCGAGCCAGAGGCCAGTCTCTTCCAGACGCCAGGCGTTGCTCTTGCCTGCTGACACCCCCTTTCTCGGGGAAGGATGCTCTGCCACCCACAGCTGCTCCTGTGCCCCACGTCCAACGGACACGAAGTGCCAAGATGCACAAGTCCAAAACCTTCAGAAGACTGCAAGAAAGTGCTCTGAAGTTGAAGAAGCCAGATTTCATTGCGCAAAGGTTTCGGAAGCCCGGGTTACGCAGCTCTGCCAGCTGAGAAGGACCTCTTTGGTACAGGACCTCTCCTCCAACCCTCAACTGGCATTACACTGGGCTTCAAAAGACTGGTGCTCAAGTCCTTTCCATGGAGAATCATGGTTTTCTAAACAAACGCTGCTTGGGTATATAATTTCTGAGCTTAAGGACTCCCATAAAAATTAGGAGTCCAAAAGGGTGCGTATCCCATGGCTCAGAGAAGTACCAGACATTCACACTGGTGTTTCAGGGGCACTGGGATACTGACCATCTCTAGAAGATTGCTCCTATGACTGTCCTTCTTGCTCTCCAAGATGCATCTCTGACGAGGTTATCACACGATCACTGGCATTCTGACTAGCCTAAAGGAAACCACTATGATACCAGTGCTGGTAAATAAAACCAGTTCCAAGCTGTGATGATTTGCATCCTGGACAGAGCAGCTGCTAAACGCACATACTATGACTGACTTGGTGCCACATCACTGAGGATAAACTCTCGTATTTCGGACATAAGAATAAGCAGCTTTTAAGTGAGGTGAAAGTGGTGAGCAACAGGCACAATCGGCCCGAAAAAAATATCGGAGTTAGAGAATAAAGGCTTGAGACACAGCACACAGGCAAGGCAAAAGGATGCACAATTTAACTGAAGTTACCTTTGCATTCATGGAGGGAGATGAGAAAGAGAAGGAAGGGACAGAGGAGGAAAGAGACCACAATCAAGCTATGAACTGTAATTCAACATAAAGTGACATATTTGGGTAAGCACCAAGGTCTTGTACTGTCCAAAAAAAACAGATTAAAAAAAAAAAAAAATCTAAGTCACACCGTGAGCCTTTGATGTTCTAGTATTTACGTAAACTTTTCCATAGGTTGGAAATCACGTCTCCTGCACCGACTGCTTTTAACTGAAGAATCTCGGGTTCAAACAGAATCTCACCTTTTCACGTACGTCTGAATTAAAAATGTAATTCGCAGCTGCTGGAGGCCTGCTCATATAGGTCAAGGTTGCTCGGGTTCATTGCTTTGTATATTACAGTTTAAAGAATGCTCTAAATTCAAGGTTTTTAACTTTTTAATCTACGGGGGAAACTTCCTATAAACTCAGATTAACAGCTGCTAATGCACTGAAGAAAGAAAACCAAAAACCTTCCTCCTACTATAAAAACAAAATAGCGTGGCCTCTGTTTCTTTTCTGATAAGAGTCTTAAATACCAAACATTTAACTGCATAATAACATTTACTGGCAGCCAGGCAGCCTGCTTAGCAGATATATAAAGCAGGTAAAAGGAGAAAAAGTTAATTTCTTGGCTGAATGATTCCATCGGTAGCTATAGGGCAAACTAGAAAGTCTTTTCGTAAAGTAGCAGTTGATTCTTCTATCAATCTGCAGCACACATACTCTTCCAAGGAATGCATTAAATATGAAAATCATATCCCGTTATCATCTGTTTCCAGCTTTCAGCCCAGTAAGCTTTTCTTAATGAATGCTGTAGCCTAAGGGACAAGCACGCTGTTGGCTTTTCTGAATAATGGAGTGATGCCACCAGTTTTGCTTATTACAAAATCGACTGGCTGAGGGGGTTTCACACATAGTCACAAGTGACTACTCTTGCCAGCATGCTCCAAGTTATTACAAGATGTTTTTAGACATTTCATCTGAAAGAGCTTTACTGCTTTTAGTGAAGAAAACAGCTATGGTCTTGAACTGTATCATTTATATGGAGATAGGAGGAGGGATTAGAAGCCTGCATTACAGCAGATATATGGCAGAATATATTTAAGTATTCCTTGTCAGTCTTTTTGTCTGTTACTTAGATAGGCAATCTCCTCCTGCTTCTTCTGAGAAAAGGTCCAAGCGCACCAAATTACGAACACGCCGTACGAACCGACCGCTGCATTTCTAAAAATATCGTTCATTAAGAATAAGAACGTTTCTTCCTCGGTCAAGATCATTTTCACAGTACTCGGCACAGGAATTACAAAACCCAACAAGATGATGGATATAAACAGTTACAGGTTCTCTCCCCTCTTTAATTCCGGTCCTTTGGCTGAAATAATTGCACTTTTTACCCAGGTTATCCTACCTCACTCAGGCACTAAACGCTATTTCACACTACGGATGCCCCCACAGGATGCCCACGCGCGGACTGGGCAGCGATGCCCACCCTTCACGCAGCGGCTGGGGGCAGAGCAGCGCAGTGTAACCACCCATCTCCCTCCCCGCTTCCCTCCCGTTACCTGCTCGTCGGATCCTGCTCCCTTGTCACCTTCTGCTGACAAGTTACCCTCTCCAAGTGATAACACGCTTTTAATTTCTCTTCCACGCCATGCCTAAATGCGAACAAATCCGTTATGTAAAATTGAAGGCCAAAAAAAAAACCAACCCCCACCATGAATCAGCAAATATTACTTTGCAAATTGTGCACTTTTAAACGCAATGTCCTAGCAGCATTTTCCCTTGGACCGCGTTCAAAAAGCCAGAGATCCCACTTCCTCCCGATTCTTCTGCTCCCCTGAGCAACCGACGTGGCCTGTACAGTCTTCTGCAGGTTTTTAATACACATTTACTCATTCACACAATTTAGAATCCTACACAACAGTAACAACTTGTTGACTCAAATTTATTTCACCCCAACTAGTATTTGTTAACGCCAAATTACTTCTGCTGTACCCAGGCGATGACTGCGCTGCTGTGGGATGAAATGAGCTTCAGAATTTGTTTTACAGACATCATCTTACAACTCACTGAGCTGTTGCAGGGAAAAACACACGGCAGATGTTAGGAAGAGCCACCCAGCATGACAGGCAACTTGCTGTGGTGTTCCTAAAACAACTGCCCAAGCCGCCCGCGCCTCCACTCCATTGTTTAATTGACCAGAGGTAACGCATTCACGTGGGGCTGCTGCTCAACAGCCAAGCACACAGCACCTGTAATTAATCCTGTTCGTTAGTAATTGCAAACCCCAGTAACGAGTTACACCGGCTCCGAGCAAAAGCACTTCAGGACCTGTTCTGCATCAGGTAACGTGCAGGAAAATAAATCTTTCAAACAATTAACTTAACCAGCTCTGCACTTCGCTCCAGCGGTGCATCCGGCAAGTCTGCTATTTCCAGAAGCTGCTCCTAAAATCCTAAACATTAAATTTTAAGAAACAAAAACTATCCACACGAGAATTAAAGATGCTCAAAATAAACTCATGCATAACTACTGTATTTTCCTGAAAGGTCAAGTGAATTTACTTACACTCCCCAAAATTACTGAACAAATCACAGACTCTAAAACACAAGGGGAAAAGAAGTGAATCTTTCAGAAACAAAAGAAGTTTTGTCAGCTACAGCCACACACAAACTGTGCACATAGTCATGATAAAGCACTCCTTAAGGGTGTTCTCTCTCTATGAAAAAAAGGGGGAAATAGTAATAATTTCTTTCTGTGTACTTCCATGACAGATTAAACGATTACATGCTCCATAATTCTTATGCAATCCACAACAAGGGGGCTTTTCATAGCTGTAGCATGGAGGACGTGGAATCTGTGCTTTGCTCAACAGCTCAGAAAAAAATAAGTCTAACCTGGCAAAAATAAAATGGATGGCACAGAAACACCAACATGGAAGTAATGAACAAAAACAGCACACGCAGATCCACCCGTGGCACAACTAGGACTCACACCAGTAGGCTGGAACAACCTCTCACCAAACTGGGGTGCATTAGGGTTGCTAAGAATAAAAATCCTTAAAACCAACACGGGAAACCTAGCATCACAACATACCCCCAGTCCTGCTCTGCTTCAAATACAAATAAAAATTAAAAAAAAAAGAACAAAAGGGGAGGAATCGTGCACACACTCCCAGGCACAGCCTTTACACTGCACATACTGAGCTGAAGCAGGAAAAGATGCTCCGTGAATGCCACCAGACCCAACAGGCTTCAAAGAACGACCAGGCACTGGCTGGGCTGTAGCTACACAAGGGATGTTAGCCAGCCCGTTGGCTTATTAGAGTGGGAAGCAACTGCCCAAAATGCAATTGCATTTCAGAGAAATAAAAAACAACCACAACGGAGTTCTAGACAGCCACACAAAGATACGTGTTGTGTCAGCACCACGTCGCAGGGGCTTAAAATGCCTCAACTAATTTGTTTCCTCCTCTCCTTTCTTCCAGCAAGTTCAAAAGATGCAGTGGCAGAGGGACAGATGTAGCCCCTGCCGAGTATTTCTGGAGAATGTGACTGCTCTTGGAAAGCAGACACGCACATTTCCCTCCCAGTTTCTACCTCCTCGACAATCTGACTCCAGATACTAGTGGCGTGACCACACCTCACAATTTTATTTTTTAAAATCCAAGCTCATCACCAGTCTGTATCACTTTGCAGCATCCCAAATTGTTGTTCAGTGAACAGCAAGACAACATAACGACACGACTCAAAAATCCTCAGGGCTCGGCTGTTTCTCGTAGCAGCCCATTAAACAGAGTGCTTCGGTCACGAGTTGGGGAACAAAAATCCTGGCTGTTGTACCACCTTAAATACGGATCCTGATCGAGTTTGTTTCAAACATGAAGATAAGACATGCAAAAAATCTCTTTACTAGCACAGAAGAGTTTCATCCTGTTTCTGCATTAATCACAAAAAAAGCAACACATCTAACTGTCCAACCTACAGACAGCATTACTGATACATAACCCTACGGACAAGACCAAAGCCATTTACCCCAACAGGGCTAAACGGGAAAAGCAAAAAGTCTGTTCACGTTTGCAAATGAGGGTGTGAGGCTGGGAAAATTGAGAGAATCATCAAATTCTACTTCAGTGTTAAAAAAAAACCAACACCCACCATAGCAATTCAGGTCTAACGGTAACACGTCTTTTTATCTCAACACAAATGGAATGACTATCAATGCTTTTTTTACTTCCACATCATCTTTTTTTTTCCTCCCATGCTATTTTAAGAGATTAAGGTAGACTGACTACACATTGTAGGTACAGAAATCCCCATCTCGTTATGAGTTCCACTCATCATGGGGAGAGAGAGTCCAGTAAGGGCTTGCCAGAAGACACATACTTTTCCCCAAAAAGAAAACAGAATCGAGCTGACTTTGGACAACTGTTTCTGCAACGAGAATTTCAGCCCAAACCCAACTGAAACAGGAGAACCAACAGCAGAGGGTGGCTAATGTAGCTGTTGAAGGGTCACTTTCAGTGTCCTCCTGAGAGCTTTTGTTCTTCCTTTTCATATGCAATGACCACCCATGTTTTCTACCTGTTGTGGTCATTTTTAAGAAACCAGTCATCAAAAACCAGAACAGGCACGTGTTAGCTCGTCAGCCTCTTTCATGGGGATAACTCTTCCCAGCACGAGTTCTCAAACTGATTCTTCATCCAGCCAAGTCAGCAATAAGACCCCCTTGGCAAACGCAGACCTTTGAGCTGACGGCGGTCAAGGCTATGAGCGGGGAACGGAAAAGCAGCGCGTCTGCGGTCGTCCTTGCTAACGAAGGTGCTGCAAAGGCAGCAAGAAGTATATTCTGTCGGGTGGTGGCTGTTCTGAAGGAGTCACTTGGTGCTACCACGCTCCCACCGTGTCAGCTGTGGCGCACAATTCGAGTACACAAGGTGAAGAAACGCTCCCTGGGCCTGGCTCTGCCAGTCCAGAAGGAAAGTTCAAAGTTTCCGTCTCTGAAGGCACATGGATCAAACCTCTGAGTGCATGCAGAAACGTTACCAAAAGCGAACATCCGAGTGATACAACTGGGATACTGGAGGACTGGTTTTCTCCCTTACCACTGTTCAAGTATTGCTAGTTGACTGTTTAGTAACAGAACTAAGTGTGACCTCATTTAACTCAGCTTTAGCCCAGATAGTTAAAATACAATAATTTGTTGCAACAGAAGTTATTTACTCTTACAACTTCCTCTGCAGATGGAGACAGAGCAAGAAGCAAGGGGAGGACCAACTGTGGCTATTTAGGGAGTTCACTCCCGCAAAACTAAAAATATGTCCTGAAACAACTTCCATGAAATACATGTGGATACTTTTAAGCATTAAAAGCCTTGCTGAAATAGTTTTATAACAAAGCCTTTATGAAAATATTACAACTCAAGTCGTCTTTTTGTCCTAACCTGGATACTGCTGGCTTATTATCTTATCGCTCACACTCCAACACATGATCCTTTTCCACATTTTCCTGATCTCAGCTCTCCCTCGCTTCCCAGAGACTCAGAAGCACAGGGCACCAAACGCAGAGTCCTGTGAAGTGCTGCTGACTACCTCTGCAGCTACAGCAGGGTCAACTACACCATGTATCAGCAGAGTTTGGGTTCATCCCAAATTCCCAAACATTACCGCTTTCAGCACTCCAAAACATATGATGAGGTTGCACCAACACCTGAAGTCCTGATGTGTATAATACCCCGACAAAACCAACTTAGCAACCCTGTAGTAACAGTAAACACTAACGTTTTAAGTCTTATAGAAAGTTACCTCCATCTTCTGAATCATCTCTGAACCCAAAGTCTTCATGTAAGCTTCAAATTGGGCAAATTCCTTTAAAAGGGCCTGGTTTCGCAGAAGAGCTCTTTTCCGTCGTTCATCTACTTCTTTCAAGTACTTTTTCAGCTTCATGTATTTTAGTTTCGTTCTACAGGGGAAAATGAAACCGTACTTAAAGAGCATGAAATTAAAACAAACGCGTCTACTACAGACACGTACGTGCTAACCCTTGAGTAGGAGTTGCCCCCCACCCCTCCCAGAAGGAGCAGACACGTTCTTCTGCACGGCTGCCCAAAGCTACAGGACGTCTGCCACGTCCCTTCAGGTTTAAACAGGGGGTTTGGCGTTCGAAAGGGTAAGTTTATTTAAACACTCTTGTAAATTTGTCATGGATGGACCTTTCAGACACCTCTAGGACACCAAATCAAAATGAAAATTGTATTTAGGAGAACGTGCTCTGCGAGTAGCACCAACGGTGACATTCAGGCTGCGGTTCCACAACTGCTTTAAGCCCACCTAAACCCACGCTGCCACCAAAAGGGGCACCTCGCTCCAAGCCTTTCCTTTTTGTGCCAACACGACCGGCTATGTGGCCACGTGGCAAATTAGGCCAAAAGTAATCCAGCTGAAAAATCCATCTAAACCAGTTCTCGCCCACCCAAAAACACAGACTCACTTGAGCCAGGCCTGTTTGCTCATCTGATCACAGGGCAGCCCCGCGAGCACGAGCGCCACAGGGAAAACGTGAGCCGGGGCACCCAGGAGCATCTTTGGGTCTCAGCCTGCCTACAGGTCTGCTTCCACCACTTGTAAACTCGCAACCTAAACCCCCGAGCAGCCTATATTTTCAGAGAAACTTCAGTTCAAAACCTGTCAGATTAAACGAAAACAAATAAAAATAGAAAGGAAAGTACATGTGCTGTTTCCCCACCTGTTCAGACTTTGTTTCTCTTTAATTTACACCTTCATTTTCTAATCTAAGGGCCCGGCCATTCCTGCCCCGCGCCCTCCGTTCCTTGAGCCCAGAGAGAAAAGGCGCCTCTGAGCTTTGCAAAGCACGTGGGAGGAGAGGGACACGGGCTGAGACACGTCCCAGCCCTCTGGTGTGGTCGTGTCGCTGGTGTTGGTTGGGGGGGTGTGTGCTGTTGTGGGTTTGTACTATTGTGGTTTGTGGTTTCGTGCTTTGTACTATTGGGGTTTCTACTAATGTGGTTTGTGGTTTCTACTACTGTGGTTTGTGGTTTTGTGGATTGTGGTTTCTACTACTGTCGTTTGTGGGTTTGTGGTTTGTGGTTTTGTGGTTTGTGGTTTCTACTACTGTGGTTTCTACTACTGTGGTCTGTGGTTTTGTGGTTTCTACTACTGTGGTCTGTGGTTTTGTGGTCTGTGGTTTCTACTATTGTGGCCTGTGGTTTTGTGGTTTCTACTATAGTGGTTTGTGGTTTTGTGCTTTCTACTAGTGTGTTTTGTGGTTTTGTGGTTTCTACTATTGTGGCCTGTGGTTTTGTGGTTTCTACTATAGTGGTTTGTGGTTTTGTGCTTTCTACTAGTGTGTTTTGTGGTTTTGTGGTTTCTACTATTGTGGCCTGTGGTTTTGTGGTTTCTACTATAGTGGTTTGTGGTTTTGTGCTTTCTACTAGTGTGTTTTGTGGTTT